TTCCCCGAGACAGTCTCATTCTCACCACACCCAGCTGTGGTTAACACATTGATTGATGCATTGTAGACCCTAAATTTGTGTTAGCGACCCCACAGTGGATCACTGAGTTAAAGTTTTATTAACAGTGCCAGACACAGTGGCTGACGCGTGTTATCCCAGCGCTTTGGGAAGTCAAGGCAGGTGGATTCCCTGGCCACCATGGTGAAACCCCGTCTCTACTAAAAATACGAAGTTAACCTGGGCATGGTGGTGCATGCCTGTAATCTCAGCTATTCGGGAGGATGAGGCTGGAGAATCACTTGAACCCCGGAGACAGAGGTTGCAGTGAGCCAAGGTCGTGCCACTGCACTCCAGCCTGGGTGACAAGAGCAAGATTCCATCTCAAAAAAACAAAAAAGTTGGCTAGGCACGGTGGCTCAAGCCTGTAATCCCAGCACTTTGGGAGGCTGAGATGGGCGGATCATGAGGTCAGGAGATCGAGACCATCCTGGCCAACACGGTGAAACCCCGTCTCTACTAAAAAAAATACAAAAAAACTAGCCGGTCGAGGTGGCGGGCGCCTGTAGTCCCAGCTACTTGGGAGGCTGAGGCAGGAGAATGGTATAAACCCGGGAGGCGGAGCTTGCAGTGAGCTGAGATCCGGCCACTGCACTCCAGCCTGGGCGACAGAGCGAGACTCCGTCTCAAAAAAAAAAAAAAGAAAACAAACAAAAAAGTTTTATTAACAAACTGTAGTTAGTTGTCCACCTGTCCTTAAACTTGCCTGTAACTTCTCCTTAACTCTAGGTTCTCCTTTTTGCTCCTAACCTTTGACGCTTCTTTTTTTCCACAGCTGTCATGGAAATGATGAGTCAGAAGATCCAGCAGCTGACAGCCCTGGGAGCAGCTCAGGCTACTGCTAAGGCCTGAGAGTTTTTGCAGAAATAGGGCAGAGGGACACGGCTTTGGGCATGGCTTCCTGGTGCTGGGAAGGGTCTTGTGTTTAATGCCAATAAATGTGCCAGCTGGGCAGAATGTTGGTCTTTTCTTGGATTAAGCAAGGGACTGGTGATGAGATGGGGGGGTGGTCGAGAGTGTGGGCCCCGCCCCAGAGCCTGATGCACAGGTTTGATGCGGTGCTCCTCTTGAAGGCTCCACCGCAGGGCCCTTTGACCAGCTGGAAGAAATCGTAGGCTGGGAGTGAGCTGCTGCTCACTCTCCGGAGCTGGTTGCCAAGGCAACGGTTGGCAAGCGGAAATGGAGCGCCGCTGGCGCTTTCCCTTCCGGGTCGGCCCTCCTGCGTCCCTACCGGGAGAGTCTTATGGGATACCGCTTCCTGCGCGGCCTTTTAACGCTGCTGCTGCCGCCGCCACCCGTGTATACCCGGCACCGCATGCTCGGCCCAGAGTCCGTCCCGCCCCCAAAACGACCCCGCAGCAAACTCATGGCATCGCCCCGAATCGGGACGCACAATGGCACCTTCCACTGCGACGAGGCACTGGCATGCGCACTGCTTCGCCTCCTGCCGGAGTACCGGGTACGGTCCGCGAAAAGTGACCCTGACACTGCGTGCATGCATGCCTCCGGGGTGGATGGCATTCCGCCAACAGGGTCCCTCCGATAGCGCGGGGCATCCCAAGCACCCTTCCTACCCGCCCTGTCTCCCTGAAGTCCAGCTTTAATCTCCTACCCGGCGACCCCTGGCAGCCCCTTCACCCCTGTGTACCTCGCAGGATGCAGAGATTGTGCGGACCCGGGATCCCGAAAAACTCGCTTCCTGTGACATCGTGGTGGACGTGGGAGGTGAGTACGACCCTCGGAGACACCGATATGACCATCACCAGAGGTAGGTTCTCAGATACCATTTATTTAACTTCCTTGACCTCAGCTTTCCTCTGTGCTCCAATTCAGCCATCCACTGCCGTGGTCCGCGTCAGCGAAAATAACTGCCTCATTGTTGAAATCAAACTCCCACTAGGACTGCACCATCCTTCCGCCCTGCCTGTTCTTCACCCATCTCCTTGGCCTGGGACCTCCCTTGGTTCCCAGGGAGTCCCTCAGGCCCCTTATCTCATCTCCTTCCTTAGCCAAGGCTTTTTTCCCACCAGCAACTTCATCACCCTGAAGGGATGGCCTGCCCCGCCCCACCTGTGGGCGTTTCTCGTCAGATGGAACCAGAGACTTGAGAAAAGAAATGAGACACAGAGACAAAGTATAGAGAAAGAAAAAGTGGGCCCAGGAGACCAGTGCTCAGCATACAGGGGACCCGCGCCGGCACCGGTCTCTGAGTTCCCTCAGTATTTATTGATCATTATCTTTACTATCTTTTAGAAAAAGGAGAAGTGGCAGGACAATAGGGTCATAGTAGGGAGAAGGTCAGCAGAAAGACATATGAATAAAGATCTCTGTGACATGTATAAGTTTAAGGAAAAGTACTGTGCCTTGATGTGCATATGCAAACATCTCCATAAACATTTTCAGTGCATAAAGAGCAGCATTGCGGCTAGCACATCCCACCTCCAGCCCTAGTCCCACCGACAGCCCTAAGACGGTTTTCTCCTATCTCAGTAAATAGACTATCACATGGGGAGAAACCTTGGACAATACCTAGCTTTCCTAGGCAGAGGTCCCTGTGGCTTTCCGCAGTGTTTGTGTCCGTGGGTACTTGAGATTAGAGAATGGTGATGACTTTTGACAAGCATACTTCCTTCAGGCACTGGTTTAACAAAGTACATGCTGCACAGCCCCAAATCCATTAAACCTTGAGTCACCACAGCACAAGTCTCTGTAAGGACAGGGTTGGGGGTAGGGTTACAGATTAACAGCATCTCAAGGCAGAAGAATTTTTTTTAGTACAGAACAAAATGGAGTCTCTTATGTCTACTTCTTTTTTTTTTTTTTTTTTTTTGAGACAGAGTCTTGCTCTGTCGCCCAGGCTGGAGTGCAGTGGCCGGATCTTAGCTCACTGCAAGCTCCGCCTCCCGGGTTTACGCCATTCTCCTGCCTCAGCCTCCTGAGTAGCTGGGACTACAGGCGCCTGCCACCTTGCCCGGCTAGTTTTGTTTTTTTTTTTTTTTTTTGTATTTTTTAGTAGAGACGGGGTTTCACCGTGTTAGCCAGGATGGTCTCAATCTCCTGACCTCATGGTCCGCCCGTCTCGGCCTCCCAAAGTGCTGGGATTACAGGCTTGAGCCACCGCACCCGGAGTATGTCTACTTCTTTCTACATAGACACAGTAACAGTCTGATCTCTTTTCCCCACATCACCCCAACTAAATAAACCCATCTGTGATTAATCCATTCTGGTGCCCTTGCTGCTGCACCTAACTGCTGGGCCCACATGATTGTGGCAGTTCGTGACAGTTCAGATGTGTGAGGTGTTCTACTTCATCTACACCCTTCCAAAGGGAAATCCTTCTTGCTCAAGGGTAGCCCATTCCAATCCTTTTCTTCCCCCTGAAGCCTCTACAGCATCAAACTGATCGTCCCTGCCTCTTCGCAAAAGAAGTTGAGCATTTCCGCAGTCTCCCACCTCAAACATCCTCAGCTCCCTCCTACCAGTTAAGGGAAATTTCTTCCCTTCTGTTGGAGGTTAATCCTCTGTCCTGTTTCCAGTCTATTACTTTCCTCTGGGATTCCTTTTTCTTTTTTTCTTTTTTTCTTTTTTTTTTTTTGACACGGAGTCCCCCTCTGTCATTGAAGCTGGAGTGCAGTGGAACGATGTTGGCTCACTGTAACCTCTGTCTTCCAGGTTCAAGCAATTCAACTGTCTCAGCCGCCTGAGTAGCTGGGACTACAGGCACCCACCACCACACCCGGCTAATTTTTATATTTTTAGTGGAGACGGGGTTTCACCATATTGGCCAGACTGGTCTCGAATTCCTGGCCTTGTGATCCACCCCTCCTCGGCCTTCCAAAGTGCTGGGATTACAGGTGTGAGCCACTGAGTCCAGCCTGTATTTACTCAAGATTTAATAATAAAAGTCAGTTAACAAATGGAGCTCCCTAGGTAATTCTGAGATGGACTGGTATTTAGAAATCACGGCTGTAGTTTCTACTTCCCTAACATCTGTTATATCTTTTCTCTATTTTCTGCCCCCCCTGCTGTTCAAATTCTTGCCTTCTTTATTCACCTGAACCATTGCTGGTAATTTTGCATCTGTTCTCCATGCTGGCTGGTGCAATGCTCTAACATGCACCTGCCTGCTTAAAATCCCTCAATGACTTCGATTACCCACAGATAAAGTCCAGTGGTCTGGCCCTGCCTGCCCTTCCAGCTTTTTCTTTTGCCATTCACGTCTCACACCTGAGCTGCCTTTCCTGAAGTTCTATCAAGAGACTTGTCTCTCAGCCGTCATTCATGTTGTTCCCTCTACTTGGAATGCTTTTCCTCTTTCACCCCTTGTCTATCTGGTGGACACCCACTAATTCATCTTTCAGAACTGACCTGAAGGCTCTCCTCTGAACCCTTTCCTCATCCCTTCCTTCCTTTCCCTCATCTTGTCTAGTGAGAGTACTCGGGGGGTTGTGTTTGTCGTCCTCCGGCAGATGAATCTAAAGGCGAGGACGGTGTCTTTTTTTTTTTTTTTTTTTTTTTTTTTGAGGCGGAGTCTCGCTTTGTCACCCAGGCTGGAGTGCAGTGGCCGGATCTCAGCTCACTGCAAGCTCCGCCTCCCGGGTTTATGCCATTCTCCTGCCTCAGCCTCCCAAGTAGCTGGGACTACAGGCGCCCGCCACCTCGACTGGCTAGTTTTTTTGTATTTTTTTAGTAGAGATGGGGTTTCACCGTGTTAGCCAGGATGGTCTAGATCTCCTGACCTCGTGGTCTGCCCATCTCGGCCTCCCAAAGTGCTGGGATTACAGGCTTGAGCCACCACGCCCGGCCAGTGTCTTGGTTTTTTATCCTTAATGTCTAATAAAAAAGCATTGAATTAACCATTGAATGAATACATGGAGAGTCTAGCCAAGGTGCCTCACCTCAGCCCCACCTCCCTCTGCTCCTCAGGTCTTTTACAGAGACCATGAGCTCCCTGTCCCCTGGGAAGCCATGGCAGACCAAGCTGAGCAGTGCGGGACTCATCTATCTGCACTTCGGGCACAAGCTGCTGGCCCAGTTGCTGGGCACTAGTGAAGAGGACAGCATGGTGGGCACCCTCTATGACAAGGTGGGGACCTGAGGACAGAGATGCCTCCCACATGCATTTCTGGCAGACCACCTGGGAGCAATGCTCACACAGCACTCAGCACTGGGCCCCGGGGCAGGGTTCCTGGCCTATAGCAGGCCCAACACTCATCCTCTCCCTCAGTCAGGCTCATCTCACAAGGGCATGGTGATACCTCCCCTGCCTACATCCTGGGGTGGTTGTGAGAAGTGGGTGCTGTAATATATGGGAAAGGGCTTTGAAAACCATAAAGCAGCATGACCCCGTCTTTTTCTTGACAAACACAAACAGCAATTGCTCAGCACCTTTGGGTAAACGGAGGGGAGACTGCTTATGTGTGAAGCAAATGGCTCAGAGGTTCTGGCTGCCCTGAAGGTTGAGGGAAGCGTATATTAGGCACTCCTGTAATTCACTAGTGGCACATAAATTGGGAAGCTCAGCTGGGAAGAGTTGTATTATGAAACTGTCTTTGGATTCCACCAGTGTCCCCTGCAAGCAGCTTCCTGCTGTTGGGGAAGGAATATGGCTAGTGGCCCTGGCATGCAAGTCAGGTCTCACATTACTGAGGACAGACACTTACTTGTTTATAAGTCAAAGCTTAGGTTCAGTCAGCTGTATTTCTTGCAGGTAGGCTGTTGAGTTCAGTTCTCAGTTTTAGCTTGCCCATCTTCTGCCCTCTGTAACTACAGAATTTTTGGAATATCAAGATTTTAGACTGCCTGGGTCAGTTTTCCCTTCCACTGCTGAAGGGTTTCTAAACAACTGACAAATTTTTTTTTTTTTTTTTTTTTTTTTTTTTTTTTGGGGTTTTGCTTTTTCTTCCAGTCTGGGGTGCGGTGGCATGATCTCAGCTCATTGCAACCTCTGTCTCCTGGGTTCAAGCAATTCTGCCTCAGCCTCCTGAGTAGCTGGGATTATAGGCGCCTGCCACCACACCTGGCTAATTTTTGTATTTTTAGTAGAGACGGGGTTTCACCATGTTAGCCAGGCTGGTCTCGAACTCCTGACCTCAAGTAACCCACCCGCTTTCGCCTCCTAAAGTGCTGGAATTACAGGTGTGAGCCACTGCGCCTGGCCCTAACAAGTGACTAAATTTAACCTGTGTTTATTTATTTATTTATTTATTTTATTTATATATTTTTTGAGACGGAGTCTCGCTCTGTCGCCCAGGCTGGAGTGCAGTGGCCGGATCTCAGCTCACTGCAAACTCCGCCTCCTGGGGTTACGCCATTCTCCTGCCTCAGTCTCCTGAGTAGCTGGGACTACAGGCACCCGCCACCTCGCCCGGCTAGTTTTTTGTATTTTTTAATAGAGACGGGGTTTCAGCGTGTTAGCCAGGGATGGTCTTGATCTCCTGACCTCGTGATCCGCCCGCTTCGGCCTCCCAAAGTGCTGGGATTACAGACGTGAGCCACTGCGCCTGGCCTATGTATTTTTGAGAGACTGTTGCCCAGGTTGGAGTCCAATGGTGCCATCATGGCTTGCTGCTGCTTTGAACTCCTAGACTCAAGCAATCTTCCCACCTCAGCCCCCCAAGTAGCTGAGACTCTAGGTGCATGCCACCATGCCTGGCTAATGATATGTCTTAATTTTTTGTAGAGAGGGTCTTGCTACGTTGCCCAGGCTGGACTCAAACTCCTGGGCTCAAGTGATCCTCCCACCTAAGCCTAAACCCATGTTTTAACTGAGCATCAGGTTGGGGTCCAAACCAAGAAGTGCTGGGCATAGAAGTTACTTTCTCAGTGCTCTGAGAGTAGCACTTTTCTACATACCACAGGTGTAGTGTTATGGAGGCCTATTTTGTAGGGCAATTTTGCATAAAGTTTCTGCCCCGAGACTCTTGAGGCATTATCCTACCATTTATTCAGACCCAGGAGACAACTGCTGATGTCATGTGGCACATTATGGGCTTCCCTGGAACCCTAACCCAGCAACCAGCTTTTGGTGTCTAATCTCAGACTCATTTTCTCCCTCTTGACTTGTGTTCTCAACCAGAGCCCCTCCTGCACCTCATTAACCATGTCACTGAATACCTACTCACCCCACCTGGAGACTTGCCAGCCTTCAACCACAGGGACCCACTCCCACAGAGACCCTCTAGCACCTGGAAGACCCTCTTCCTTGTTCAAAAGTTAGCAGTCCCCTCCCCACACGTGTTGGCTTTGGTTTGGGCTTTGTGCAGCAGAATGAGCATGGCTTAGAAACCAGGTGATCTGAATTCCAGTCACAGCACAATGAGACTTCTGAGCTTCAGCAAGCTGCTGAACTTGCCAATTCTCCCTTTTCTCATCCAGTTATGTTGAGATCCTCACAGGGCTGAAAGAGTGTGTATGAACATACTTTGAATCATGTAAGACTTCCCATAAATAGTAGGTAGCCTCAAGAAAGTTTCCCCTGCTGCTGCCTTAGATGTATGAGAATTTTGTGGAGGAGGTGGATGCCGTGGACAATGGGATCTCCCAGTGGGCAGAGGGGGAGCCTCGATACGCACTGACCACTACCCTGAGTGCACGAGTTGCTCGACTTAATCCTACCTGGAACCAGCCTGACCAAGACACTGAGGTAAGGTGGCGTGGGAGGAAACCCTGAGACCTGTAAGAACCTTGGGCGGGGGGGAAATGGGAGCATTTATTCCTCCTAAGCCCTAGCAAATTCCAAGTTTGTGCCAGCACCCTGGTTCTGATTCTCATCATTCCCAGGCAGGGTTCAAGCGTGCAATGGATCTGGTTCAAGAGGAGTTTCTGCAGAGATTAGATTTCTACCAACACAGCTGGCTGCCAGCCCGGGCCTTGGTGGAAGAGGCCCTTGCCCAGCGATTCCAGGTATAGGCCTTGGAGGCATTGTGGCTTGGGGATTACTGACTGCCAATCAACAGGTGCTCCTGCTTCTACCCTAAACCCTAAACCTTTTTTTTTTTTTTTTTTTTTTTTTTGAGATGGGATCTCTGTCTCTCTGTCACCCAGGCTGGAGTGCAGTGGCAGACAACCTCAACCTCCTGGGCTCGAGCAGTCCTCCCACCTCAGCCTCCTGAGTAGCTGGGACTATAGGCACATGCCACCTCACCCAGCTGATTTTTGTATTTTTTGTAGAGACAGGGTCTCACTTTGTTGCCTAGGCTTGTCTCAAATTCCTGAGCTCAATTGATCCTCCTCAGCCTGCCAAAGTGTTGTGACTACAGGCATGATCATCATGCCCAGCCTACCTTAAACCTTTTAGCTATCCTCTCCCTCTTTCAGGTGGACCCAAGTGGGGAGATTGTGGAACTGGCGAAAGGTGGATGTCCCTGGAAGGAGCATCTCTACCACCTGGAATCTGGGCTGTCCCCTCCAGTGGCCATCATCTTTGTTATCTACACTGACCAGGCTGGACAGTGGCGAGTACAGTGTGTGCCCAAGGAGCCCCACTCATTCCAAAGCCGGTGAGGCCCTAGGGAACCACCCTACTGACTTTCAGGCCTGTCTCAGCCTTGTTAAGAGAAGGCTGCCAATTCTGACCTCTGCTCTGCTCCCTCTTTCTGCCCGCTTGTAGGCTGCCCCTACCAGAGCCATGGCGGGGTCTTCGGGACGAGGCCCTGGACCAGGTCAGTGGGATCCCTGGCTGCATCTTTGTCCATGCAAGTGGCTTCATTGGCGGTCACCGCACCCGAGAGGGTGCCTTGAACATGGCCCGTGCCACATTGGCCCAGCGCTCATACCTCCCACAAATGTCCTAGTGTAATAAAACCTTCCACCTTATACTGACCCAGTCCTTGACTCATTCTTGCCCTACACCATTCTGGAAACTTGTGAAAAGTGAAACAACTATTTATATGTAAGACCCTGTGTTAGATATATTTTCTTCACAGTAACTTCTCAGTCTTGCTTTCCAAAGCATTTGAATCCATACAGTTTCTAGGGTTAACGTGACCAAATTCACAAGTGGCTAAAAAGTGACAGAACAGGGCCTTAACTCAAAGTCCATGCTTTTTCCCCTACTCTACCCCAATGCAACTCCCTGGAAAAGACAGACTGGTAACTGAGTGGAAAACAAAAGGAAAACTTATTTTTTATTAGAGGTGGGAATGTGGGGAGTGGGGCAGAACAGGTGGTGGCCCTAGGAGAGGGTCCCAAGGGGCAGAGGTTGGGGATGTCTCAGTAAAGAGGGGCAGGTCATGAATACAGCCTCCACCCCCAGCAGGGGGTTCTTGGGCCCGGCCAAGCACTGGGCTAAAACGTGGAAACTGGGCATTGACAAAGTACAGCGGGATGTGAGCAATTCGGCCTGTGGACCAGCCCTGCAGAGAAGGGAAAGAAAAGGATCAGAGCCTGGGCCCAAAGAAGGGCCATCTGGCAGAGCCATACAGCAGCCAAGGCCCTTAGCTTCTCCATCCAACTCCTGAAAGCCCCAGCAGCCTGGCGCACTCACCACACTGAGCAGGGCCCCTTTGTTGAAGGAAGGATGGAAAGTGATGAGCTGGGGCTGGGCTCCTGGCTCCCCCTGGATAACGCCACTAGAAGAAAAGGTGAGCAGGCAACCGGAGGCAGAAGGGAGCTGCATGTAGTGGGATGTGGGTTTTGTGCAGGAATGCTGGTGAGAAGTCCAGACCTAAGGGCCCACATGGCACTTACCAGGGAAGGAGCTCAAACACAGGGCTGTTTCGAGTGCAAAAAAGGAGGATGACTGGTTTACCATCCTGTACTCTTGGGTTTCCTGTAAGAAATGGATCCAGGGATAGGAGAGGAACTCTGAAGACAGAGTCCCAGGACAGGGGCAGAGGAGAACTCCAAGCCAGGGCATGGCCTCACTAGATTAATTGGGAAGATGGCTGTAGGCTGAGCCCTTCATCCTTGCCTCTTACCTTTCATGAGCACAGCCAGACGCTCCCCACTGGGGTCCCAGACCATGGAGTGAGCCTCTCCCCCAAGCCTGTGAGTGAGGAAAGATTAGGAGAGTTTCAGTGTGGTCCCTCCCATCTGCTTTTCACTGCTACTCCCTCAACCACTCAGCTCACCTCTCCTCACCATCTGGTGTCTGTATTGTTGTCTCAGACAGATCTGCCACAATTGTTGCTGACTTTGCACCTCCAACGCGCCCCTTTCCCTCACCTGTGGATGGGTAAGAGCAGAGAGGTTCTTGCAAGAAACAGGCCTCTCACTGGTCCCCTGCCAGCTCACCAAAGGCATCAACACCTCGAAATTTCCTAAGCTTCTATATTTCCCTTTATCCCTCAGAGCTGCATCTTACCAAAGGTTGCTGCCTCCCTCTGACCACCCCAAATACTGAAATGTTGCCCTAACTCACCACATTGTTCTGGAAAAGACAGGGAGTAAATCAGTGGCTCTCCCAATACAGTGAACAGCAGTCGGTTTCCATCTGGGCTCCAGCAGCCAGTCTGGGGTCAGGGAGCAAAAGGCAGGAGAAGGTATGTCTACAGTAGAATGCAGGAGGGAAAGTAGAGGTGGCCGGGCTTGGGGGCATCAGAGGCCCATTGGAATCATCTCCTCCCCAGCGTCTGTCAGAGTCCCCTCTTACCTGACAGCGCCCTGATAGAGTAGGCCACCTCTCACAAGTCCACATCTGGGCCTCCCAGACTCTAAGCCAGAGAAAAGCAAATTACAGCTCAGGACCTCTAAGTTCTAAAACTTGGACCCACCTCCCTTGACAGAGCTTCCAGGAGCTAAGTGCCTTTCTCTAGGTCCTTGCCCTCCCTCCATCCTCCTCCCACTCACCGAAAGACAGCTGAAGGAGTGGTAGCCAGGATTTTGCTGCCATCTGGGGACCAGAGCAGGTTGGTCACCCCACCTCCTCGAAACCAGGGAAGGGGGACACAGGTCTCTGTTGAGACATCCCATACCTAGGAGAGTGGGGCAAAAGATAAGGGAAAACTCAAGCACCCTATCATCTCTCAGAGGGCTGGCCTCTCTAATGTACACAGAGCCAGAAACGAGAGGAAGCAGGAGAGGGACTGTGAAACATGAGGCACAGGTTCATGCTAACGATTACAGAGAATGGAATTTTAAACCTCATGAGTCTGATGGCAAAGCTCCTCTCTGAGTAAGTTTAAGACTGAATGAACCAAGGTCCCTCCTCCTTCCCCCAAGATGTTTCCACCACCGAGTGAGGAACGCTTTTGCCAGGACTGAAATGCACATGAGGGGCAGGGACCCACTCACCCGGATAGCAGCATCCACGGGTGAAGCTGAGAGCAGCCGCCCCCCACTGGGGGCCCAGGCCAAGCTAGTAACAGGTGTATGCCCAGGGTGAGACAGCACTTGGGCACAGCCAGAAGAGGGTCTGCAGGGGAACACAGAGGATGTGGAGTCAGGAGATGACAAGAAGCCACCCCCAAAATTCTATTTCTTTGCCTCCTGCTAAAACCTCCTATCGTGATGGCCCGTTCTGGACTCAAATCCAGGTTGGGAAAAAGGAGTAAGGATTGTGGAAGTTAAAAGAAAAAAACACACAGTGAAGGGGAAAAAAGGCCAAATCACGAGCAGGTCAACAGAGAAGGGGTGATTTGCAAGATCTCAGGCCAGGGTGAAAGAGAGTGCTTTCACCATAGGCCATGAGGAGGCAAAACCTAACCAGAAACCTAGAAGGTACTGCCCTGGGGTGGTATTAGGCCCCACCCCAGAACACAGCTATCTGCCCACAGGCCATCCAGCCTGGCCATCCATCCAACCAGGGATAATCTATGACCTTACTTCAAGGTTCCAACCTTTTCTCTCCAGAGTTATCTAACACTCCTCAGAACACACCCTGTGCTCCGAAACAGCCCTCCTGCCTTGCCTTATCAGAGCGCCTCCCACCTTTGCACTCCTGCGTTTGCTGCTTATCATAAAGATGCTGCATGTGGCTCAGCCTCCATCACCAGCAGGGAACTACCTGAGGGTGCCTGCCATGTGTCTGCAGCTGTGTGTCAGCTGTGTATTTCCAGAGTCATGTGCCTGGACTGACAGATGAAGGCTACAACCTGAATTAATGCCACCTTCTCTTTCTACCTAACTATAACCACCTTCAGCTCCAGTGAAGTCTTAGTCACAGATGTACAATTTAATTCTCTTGAACTTTACAATAAATCACAGCTACCTTTGCAGGTGGGTTCAGATTCATCTCATTCTTTTCGGTGGCTCCACTGTATACCACTCAATAGATGAACTACAATCTATTCAGTCCTGCCTCTACAAATGGACATTTGACTTGTTTGTAATTTTTTATTATACATAATGCTGTATAAAATATCTCCTGGGCCAGACATGGTGGTTCACACTCCAGGCTGGAGTGCAGTGGCACGATCATAGCACACTGCAGCCTCAAACTCCTGAGGCTCCTGCCTCAGCCTCAGCCTCTAAAGTAGCAAGGACTACAGATGTACACCACCACGCCCAGCTAGTTTTTTCATTTTTATTTTTTGTATAGACAGTGTCTATGTTGCCCAAGCTAGTCTCAAACTCCTAGGCTCAAGTGATCCATCTGCCTCAGCCTCCCAAAGTGCTGGAATTACACCCATGAACCATCACATGCCTGGCCTTGTTTTTTGTTCATGTATTTATTTAAAAAAATTTTTTAAAATCAAGTTTCGCTCTTGTCACGCAGGCTAGAGTACAATGGCATTATCTCAGCTCACTGAACTTCCACCTCCTGGGTTCAAGCGATTCTCCTGCCTCAGCTTCCTGAGTAGCCAGGATTACAGGCACGCGCCACCACACCCAGCTAATTTTTGTATTTTTAGTAGAAACAAAAACAAAAAAACCAACAACCTTCCAGGCGTGGTGTATGCACCTGTAGTCCCAGCTACTTGGCTAGAGGCTTACTTGAGCCCAGGTGTTCAAGGCTGTAATGTGTGATGACTAAGTCTGTGAATAACCACTTCATCCCAGCCTGGGCAACATAATGAAACCCCATCTCTAAAATAACCAAAAAACCGGCCAGGTGTGGTGGTTCATGCCTGAATTCCCAGCACTTTGGGAGGCCAAGGCGGGCGGATCACCTGAGGTCAAGAGTTTGAGATCGGCCTGGTCAATCTGGTGAAACCCCCGCCTCTACTAAAAATAAAAAATTGGCCTGTGATGGCATGCGCCTGTAGTCCCAGCTACTTGGGAGGCTGAGGCAGGAGGCAGAAGTTGTTGCAGTGAGCTGAGATTGCACCACTTGCCCTCCAGGCTGGGCGACAGAGTGAGATTCCATCTCAAAAAAAAAAAAAAAAGAAAAAAAATCTGTGATTACGTATTTTTTTCTTATAGTACCTACTGTCAAGGTTTAGGTATTAGTGTTACATTAGCTTTATAAAAATAAATCAGGATAGATCCTGCAACAAAAAAAGGGAGGACAGGCCGGGTGCGGTGACTCATGCCTGTAATCCCAGCACTTCGGAATGCGAGGCGGGTGGATCATGAGGTCAAGAGGAGAATCCCTTGAACCCGGGAGGAAGAGGTTGCAGTGAGCCGAGATTGTGCCATTGCACTCCATCCAGCCTGGGCAACAAGAATGAAACTCTGACCCCCAAAAAAAAAACTCATTATTTTCTTCTACAATCCACTTTGGTAACTTATATTTTGCTAGAAAATCAAACATTTCCACAGGGCGCAGTGGCTCACTCCTATAATCCCAGCACTTTGGGAAGCCAAGGCGGGCGGATCACAAGGTCAGGAGTTCAAGACCAGCCTGGCCAATATGGTGAAACCCTATCTCTAATAAAAATACAAAAATTAGCGCATGCCTGTAGTCCCAGCTACTTGGGACGCTGAGGCTGAAGAATCACTTGAACCCAGGAGGCTGAGACTGCAGTGAGCCGAGATCATGCCACTGCACTCCAGCCTGAACAACAGAGCGAGACTCCATCTCAAACAAACAAAAAAAGAAATCAAACATTTCCTTCAGATTTTCAAATTTGTTGGCCTAAACATGTCCATAATACTCTTATAATTCTTCTATTTTCTACCATATCTATATCTTTCCACTTCTGAAAATAGTATACTTTGGTTTTTTCTCCTTAATTAGGCTGACCAAAAGGTTTTCTTCTTTATTCATATATATATATGTACATATATATATATACACACACCGCACACTCACACACATCCACACTTTGTTTTTTGAGATAGTCTTGCTCTGTTGCCCAGGATGGAGTATGGTGGCGCGATCTCGGCTCACTGCAATCTCTGCCTCCCAGGTTCAAGTGACTCTCCTGCCTCAGCCTGCCGAGTAGCTGAGACTACAAGCGAGCGCCACCACGCCCAGTTTTTTTTATTTTTAGTAGAGATGGGGTTTCACCGTGGTAGCCAGGATGGTCTCGATCTCGTGATCTCATGATCCACCCACCTCAGCCTCTCAAAGTGCTGCGATTACAGGTATGAGCCACCGCACCCAGCCTTTTTCTTTTTTTTTTTTAAGACAGTGTCGGTGGCAGGTGCCTATAGTCCCAGCTACTCGGGAGACTGAGGCAGGAGAATGGCGGGAACCCGGGAGGTGGAGCTTGCAGTGAGCCGAGATCGCGCCATTGCACTCCAGCCTGGGCGACAGAGCGAGACTCCGTCTCAAAAAAAAAAAAAAGACAGTGTCTCACTCTGTCACCCAGACCACAGTGCAGCTGCAGTGGTGTGATGTCAACTCACTGTGACCGCCGCTTCTCAGGTTCAAGTGATTCTTGTGTGTCAGCCTCCCGAGTAGCTGGGATCAGAGGCACGCACCACCACGTCCGGCTAATTCTTTTGTATTTTTAGTAGAGATGGGGTTTCACCATGTTGGCCAGAATGGTTTCAAATTCCTGGCCTCAAGAAATCCACCCACCTTGGCCTCCCAAAGTGCTGGGATTACAGGCATGGGCCACTGTGCCTGGCCTAATTTTTGTATTTTTAGCAGAGACGGGTTTTACCATGTTGACCAGGTTGGTCTCAAACTCCTGACCTCAGATGATCCTCACGCTTTGGCCTCCCAAAATGCTGGGATTACAGGTGTGAGCCACTGTCTGCAGCCTTATTCATAATTTTTTTTTCTTCTTTTTTTTTTTTAGACAGAGTCTCGTTCCATTGCCCAGGGTGGAGTGCAGTGGCATGATCTCAGCTCACTGCAACCTCCGTCTCCCAGATTCAAGCGCTTCTCCTCCCTCAGCCTCCCAAGTACCTGGAACTACAGGTGCACACCACCAGGCCCAGCTAATTTTTGTATTTTTAGTAGTGACATGTTGGCCAGGCTGGTCTCGAACTCCTGACCTCAGCTGATCCACCCGCCTCCACAGTCCAAAGTGTTGGAATTACAGGCATGAGTCACAGCACCAAGCTTATTCATAATTTAAAGAACCAATTTCTGGTTTTATTTTTTATTATTATTATTATTTTTTTTTTTTTTTTGAGACGGAGTCTGGCTCTGTCGCCCAGGCTGGAGTGCAGTGGCGCGATCTCGGCTCACTGCAAGCTCCGCCTCCCGGGTTCACGCCATTCTCCTGCCTCAGCCTCCCGAGTAGCTGGGACTACAGGCGCCGCCACCTCGCCCGGCTAATTTTTTGTATTTTTTAGTAGAGACGGGGTTTCACCGTGTTAGCCAGGATGGTCTTGATCTCCTGACCTTGTGATCCGCCCATCTCGGCCTCCCAAAGTGCTGGGATTACAGGCTTGAGCCACCGCGCCCGGCCTTTCTGGTTTTATTTTTAGTTAGTTCTCACACGTATGCTTTTTCTAATTTCATTAGTTTCTGATCTTATCAGCACTAATTTTCTTCACACTTCCTTTAAGTCTCCTGATAGTCCTCTGAAAGACAGTCTTTCTACCCCATAACCCACAGACACATTGTCCCCACAATCCAAAAAGCCCCTAGTTCTGTCTCTTTCTCCAGATTAGAGTATTCTCAGCAACCCACTTTGATCTTACATCTGCTTTTCCCATAGCCCTGGGAAGTGCTGTGAGGACAAAGAACTTCTCCTCCAGACCTCCTCACCACCCACCATGCCTAGCATTGCATAACTCTCAGGCCAAGATAAGATAGGCTACTAAGACTTACCGGGTAGACAAGGAGGTGGGGTCCAGGGTCCAGATGAGAATGCAGCTCTGGCAGGCCACAGCCAAGACAGAGGCACTAAGAGGTTTCCAGGCCAGAGCCGCCACATTTCGCTGCAGCCGGTGCTTCAGGGAGGGGACTATGGTGCTAGGGTGAAGGGATAGGAAACTGAGTCAAGGCAGGAACACTAAGGCTCCAGCAACCAGAGTGCAGTTAAGGAGGGAAAGTCAGAGAGAAGGAGGATTCATCTAGGGGCCAGGGGCACTATGGGACAGGAGAGGATAAAGGTTAGGTCTAGAAAAGCACATATCCAGTTATCGAGTTTCTCTGACCCCAGTTCTGGAAGGAGCCCTGTGAACCAGGTTCAAGAACTACAGGACTTCCCGGGACCAAGGCTGGCAAGGGAAGATGATATTGACAAGTCAGAGCCCACCTGGTATCTCCACACACACCTGCTGGCATTATACACACGGACTGAGTCATCTAGCAGGGCCACTGCAAACTTGTTGGTGTGGGGGTGCCACGCAAAGACACGCAAGCAGCAGCTGGACCTAAGGAAGGGTTAACATGAAGAGTTCCTGCACCTACCCCTACCCTAGACCAGAAGCTCACATTCATTTCCAGTAAGGACATAGTTTTTCTCTACTTTTTCTTGTATTCTCTTTTTTGGGGGGACAGAAGGAATGAAAACATGGTGAGCAATCAGAAAAGGAGTAGGAGTCTTTGCCTTCTCCCCAGAGGAAGTTTCGAGGTTCAGGACTTCCTTCCCACAAAGCTCCAGGGCTTGTGCACTCACCAATTTGTGACTTGGGCAAATTCAGCAATCAGATCTTCACTCCTGAGCTGTAAGAACAAAGCAGACAGAGGACACACTGGGGCAAAAGGAGCCCATCCCCTCAATATTCCTACCCGGGAGCTGGACCACTCCTACCTTCTGAAGTCATCACACCCAACCCTGACCTGCAAGGATAGGAATGGGGGCAGAGTAGGATGGGGATGCAGTAACTGCAGAGGGCTGAGGAGGAAGCCAAACTTACAGACAGATGGGGGAACAGGGACCCATGGAGGGAAGAGGCCCATCGACAGAGTGCCAGGGCCCAGCCGGATGCCGTCTTCACCCACTCAAACACTGTAGGGTTGAGGAAGCAGCTCTGATTAAACCATTCAGAGGCCTCTTACCAGGTACCCTCTAGGTGAAAGACAAGGAAGGACAGGCACTCCCCAGGTCCTTCTGCCCAGTAAGTACTCGCAACATCTCACTCTGGACACCCACTCTGGACACCCACTCTGGACACCCACTCTGG